ACTACTCTTAAAAATATATACTTAAAAAAAAATCATTTTATTTAATTTCATTGTTATTTTTAAAAATCTGACCAGAGAGCAACAGAAAGAGAGAGAGAGAGAGGAGGAAGGTGAGAAAGCAAGCCACCAGGTCCAGGACTAGAACTGTGGTTGTCCATGTGGGAGTCTAGTGCCCTAATCAACACGCCACCTGCCAGCCCCCAAAATATACTTGTGTGTTGGGAATTATGGTTATTCAACGTTTTATAGTATTGACACAAGATTGAAAATAATCATATTTATAAGTTGGCCCTTCATCCATGAGTAAATGTGAATTTCTATAAAATAAATTTTAATCGGGCAACCCATTTTTCAGGACCCCCTCCCTTCTTGGGAGTTGTTTTTCCTTCCCTCTTCTTCTTCTTCTTTTTTTTTTTTTTGCTATAGGGTGCATGCGCTCGCCAGACAGAGAGAGACAGAGAGACAGAAAGCGAGAAATCACCCCCCAGGGGGGATGGCCATGCCGCAATCCCCTCTCCTCCATTCTCCTCTCAGGATCTTGGGCACGCACGCACACGCACCTGTGAGTTTAAGCCACTGGGTCCAGGCCTCAACCCGCCGTCGACTACGTGGGAGTCCAGCGACATAGCCATTATGCTAACGGCTGGTCCCCTTCCTTCCCTCTTCTTTAATAAACTTCCTGCTTTAATAAATTCCCCACTTTCCTAATAAACTCCCCCTTTGCTATATCTACTCTCTATGTCTGTGATTCTAATTCTTCCTGAGCATGGGACAAGAACCCATATCTCACTGTGAGAGTGGGCTCGATCACCCCTGTGCCCCCATGTTCCTGCATCATATTTTGGTGCATTGGCCGGGAAACATCTCGATTCCCTTTCCCTTTCTTCATGTCAGAATGAATCCATCAAACTACAAACGGTTGGTTGGGACAGTCTCTAGTGAACACCCATCATGACTTCAAGCATGGGCCTCTAGATAGACCCCTGGTAGAGGATCAATAATTCTTTTTAAAAAAAGATTAAAACACTCGATAGTTGCATTAAAAAATAAAAAAAGAAGCAGTAGAAGTCAGAATGCTCTTTGGCCCTAGTTGATCCTAACAGCAGCTAGGGATTACTCTGCAGAGGGGGCATGAGGAAGATAATGGTTTTCATGACCCAAATCTTCAAGACAAAGAATCTCTTGACCCTGGCACCCTCTTCAAAGTCAGGAAAATAACTGGACCTATCTAGCATGTGCCCCTCCCTACCAGGAGGGGAATGCATGCACAAGCCCCACCTAGAACCTAGTCCCCCCCACCCAGTCCCACAAAGCCCTTCCTGACCCAAAAACCCCTCACCACAGTTCTTCCTTGGCAATCTATTTTTTGGGACCCTTCCCTTCTTGGGAGCTCTGTTTTTCTTTCCCTCTCCTTTAATAAACTCCCCACCTTTGTTAATAAATTCCCCACTTTGCTAATAAATTCTCCTTTTGCTATAAATTTTTAAAATCAATTTAAAAAGTAAAGACTTGCTCTGCTACTATGTCTACTGCACAGATGAAGGCACTACTGCACGCTGCACAGACAGGTGAAGTATCTTTAAGGTTTACAGCTAAATATGGCAGGGCTTTGCAAAGGAAAAAAAAACGTGGCTCTAAAATGTGTATTCTTAAAATTAAAAAAAAAAAAAAAAGGTCAACAGTAGCATCAATAACACCAGGTGCAAAGACTGACACATCTGTCATGACTTTGACAACCCAATACATTATATTATTTTATTCAAAATAAACTGAACATACATTTGATAAATATATGCTTTTCTTAAAAAACTTACAAAAATCTGGTTTTAGGGTGTATTATAAAGCTGTAATGATTCACTTCATTTTCATCAGTCTAAGCACATCTACAAAGTCTGAACCTAATTTTCAGAACAGTTCATTTTAAATTAGTTTTGACCCATCTGTTCTATTAGAATTTTAGTGACAGAATTTAGGTTATTTCACAACTACATTATTTCATTTACCTCACACACTGGAATAAACTGTATATTTATTATTAATATATGCAAAGAAAATCAGGAATAGGCCTTCTTTTAAGCCAGATATTAATACTTCACAATAAAAATTGACCATGTGTGATTTTGATACTCATAAGACAAGAATTTTCAAATTATACAGTCTTTTTGTTTGTTTGAAGGTTTTTGCCACAGGGTGCATGAACTCACTAGAAAGAGTCAAAGAGAGGGAAAATGAGAAATCACCTCTCAGGCAATCTGGCAATGTAGCAATCCTTTCTCCTCCCTTTTCTTCTCAGGACCCTGGGCATGTACACACACACACACACACACACACGCCTGGAGGGAGTCCCCCAAACCACTAGGTCCAGAACTTGAACTGTGGTCAGCTACAGTAATATACCGCAGTAGTGCAGCAACTCAACCACTAAGCCATCTCCTGATCCCTCTTTCCCCCTCCCCCAAATTTCCAGAGGGAGCATGAGCTTGCTTGGGAGGGGGGGAGAGAACCCCCTGGTGGACACCACAATCTCTTCTTCATCCCCTGGCACTTTTGGGATCTGGGGAATGCACACATGCCCAGAGTGCTTCTTTTTTCAAATTGCCAGTTCCAAGATTTGAACAGCACAGTTGGCTATGTGGGATACAGTTGCTTTAACTACCATGCTACTGGCTGGCCTCTACATGACTCATATTAAAATACATGTAAAAAGATGTCTACTTTTGGGGGACCAGCAGTTAGCATAATGGCTATGTCGCTGGACTCCCACGTAGTCGACAGCGGTTCACGTCCCGGACTCGGTGGCTTAAACTCACGCCGGGTGCGTGTACATGTGTGCCCAAGATCCCGAGAGGAGAAGGGATTGCGGCGTGGCCATCCCCCCGGGGGGGTGATTTCTCACTTTCTGTCTCTACGTCTGTCTGGCGAGTGCAGGGAAAACCTCTCCAAAAAAAATAAATAAATAGATAAATAAATAAAAGATGTTTACTTTCCATCTGCTTGCTTAATTTCTTTCTTCTTCATGAAGTTCCCATGATCCCAGATATTTTCTCTTCTTTGAATTCCTTTACCACTTCCTACCTATGGCAACTGGAGATTAAGAACTGACTCCATAATCTGTACCACTTTTCTATTTCTTCCCAAATTTTTGCAAGATACTGGCTACATGATTTATTGAAGTATTATATTGATGCACAAGTAACTGTGGTTTTGTATTGTTGACATTTGCTATTTGATATGGGATAATTTTTAAAAAGAATTGTTTAATTTTACTTATAATTATTAATTTAAAAATGTGCTATAGGGTATATGCACTCACAAGAGAGAAAGAAAGTGTGAAAGCAAACCACCAGGTCAAGGACTCGAACTGTGATCAGCTATGTGGGAGGCCAGCGCCTTAGCCACCATGCCACCTGCTGGTCCCAATATTGGATATATTCTTAAATAAATGTGGTTATGTTATATAACATTTTAATGTTCATTTCTTGCTTTATTTATTTATCTTTTGCTAATAACTTATTACTTGCTGGCTTTCTTTTAAAATTTATATCAGACTATGAAAATGATGTAGACAAAAAGCAAATTTGAGATTTTCTTATTCGAGTTCAAAATGGGTCATAAAGCAGCAAAGACAACTTGGTCCATGAGCTAATGAATATACAGGGCAGTGGCGGCTCAAAGTTTTACAAAGAAGTCTAGAACCTTGAAGATAAGGAGTATAGTGGCCAGCCATCAGAAGTCGACAATAACCAACTAAGAACAATCATCAAAGCTGATCACCTTACAACTACATGAAAAGTTGCTAAAGAACTCAACATAGACCATTCTATGGTTATTTGGCAATTTGAAGCAAATTGTAAAGGTGGCAAAGTTCAATAAGGTGGTACCCATGAGCTGACTGAAAATAAAACAAATCATCTTTTTTTTTTTTTGAGAAGTTTTTGCTATAGTATGCGTGTGCTCACCAGACAAACAGAGAGACAGAAAGCAAGAAATCACCCCCCCGAGGGGATGGCCACGCTGCAATCCCTTCTCCTCCTGGGATCTTGGGCATGCACGCACACACAAGCGCCTGGCATGAGTTTTAAGCCACCAGGTTCAGGACTCGAACCACAGTCGACTACATGGGAGTCCAGCGACATAGTCATTATGCTAACTGCTGGTCCCACAAATCGTCGCTTTTTAAATGTCATCTTATTCTACAAACTGTTTCTTGGTTAGATTGTGATGAGCAATGAAAAGTGGACTTTATAGGACAATGGGCGATGACCAGCTCAGTGGATGGACCAAGCAGAAGTGCCAAAGCCCTTCCTAAAGCCAAACCGGTATTTAGAAAAGGTCATGGGTCATTGTTTGGTGATCCACTATAACTTTGTGAATCTCTGTAAAACATTACATCTAAGAAGTATGCTCAGCAAAATCGATGAGATGCACTGAATACTGCAATGCCTATAGATGGCACTGGTCAACAGAAAGGACCCAACTCTTCTCTACCACAACACCCAACCACATGTTGCACAAACATCATTTTTTAAAAATAATTATTTTATTTATACTTATTTATTTATTTATTTTAATTTAACCAGAGAGGAATAAAGAGAGAGAAAGAAAGAACTTGAGAAGCAAACCGTCAGGTCCGGGACTCGAACTGTGGTTGGCCATGTGGGAATTCAGCACTCTTAACCACCATGCTACCTACTAGCCCCACAATCAACACTTTAAAGCTGAATGAGTTGGGCTATGAAGTTTAGCCTCACTCACAATGCTTATCTGAATTCTCGCCAGCCAACTACCACTTCTTTTTTTTTTGGAGAGATTTTTTTTTTTCGCTATAGGGCGCGTGAGCTCACCAGACAGAGAGAGAGACAGAGACAGAAAGCGAGAAATCACCCCCAAGGGGGGATGGTCACGCCGCAATCCCTTCTCCTCCATTCTCCTCCTGGGATCTTGGGCACGCACGCACACGCGCCCGGCGTGAGTTTTAAGCAACCGAGTTCTGGAACCGAACCGCGGTCGACTACGTGGGAGTCCAGCAACATAGCCATTATACTAACTGCTGGTTCCCCCAGCTACCACTTCTTCAAGCATCCTGACAACTTTTTGCAGGGGAAACATTCCCACAACCAGCAGGATGCAGAAGATGCTTTCTAAGAGTTTGTTGGATCCTGAACCATGAACTTTACACTACAGGAATAAACAAATTTATCTCTCACTGGCTAAAATGTGTTGATTGTAATTCCTATTTTGGTTAATAAAGATGTGTTTTAGCCTAGTTACAATGATTTAAAATTGACAGTTCAAGACAGGAGTTGCTCTTCCACCAATGTATATCTTTAGGAGAAATAATTTCTTCTTCACTAGTTAACATTAACTTTGGTGTTTGGTCAACAAATACTTATTATTAAGTACCTGCTACCTGTGATGCACTGGTCTAGGATCTGTGGATACAGCAAGAACAAAACTAAGTTCCTGCTCACATTATAGTGGGAAGAGACAGATAATAAATAGCTGAAAAATAATTATAATTCCAGAGAGTGATAAGTATTATCAAAAAATAAAGCAAGGTAAGGATACTGAAAGAGGGAATGGGGTGACACAGGAACTCCTATTTTAGATGCGGTGGCCTAAGAATGGCTTCTCTAATGAACACTTGGAGTGAAGTAAAGTAAGCCACACAGACCTTTACAGGAGGAGCATTTCAGGCAGAGGAAATGGCAAACACAAAAGCCCTGAGAGAAGAATGTGCCTGACAAGTCCGAGGAGGCCAGCAAGTCTATGACAAGTGAGGGGGACATGGGAGCAATGTGATGGTGAGGTGGTCAGGGACCAGAATACACAAGGTCTTCGGAGCCTTGTGAAGGACTCTGGATCTTTAAGTGTGATAAGATACTCCAACGAAGAAACTGTGTTTATGCTCTCCATGGGGTAGGGATGGGGAGGTTGGGGGCTTTGTATCATATGAAACTGTGAAACACAAAAAGTGACTTACTGTGAATTATCTTCATTGTTTATTCTTTTGAGCTCCCGTATGTGAAGATTTCTGACTCTTTCCAAACGTTCCAGCTCTGCTTGGATTTCTGCTTCTTCCTGAAAATGAAGAGAGGGGACTATAACAAGCTCAATTTATTTGTGATATAAAAAAGGTACTTTTACTCATGCATCAATTTTTTACACTGATGGGGAGAATAGTGTATTATAAAGTACCACTACATTAAAAGACCAGTGTGCTCTTTTCAATGCCTGAAAGATAGAAAGAGATAAGGCAGAAGCCTATTTCAAGAAACCAGACTCCACATAAAAATCTACACCTAACGAGATGCCAGGTTTTATCTGTACTACAAGAAATTTATTTTTATAATGTCTATCTTGAAAGTGACTGCAAGGTGTTTTGAAACTAACTTATAACACACAAATGAGCTGAAAACTTTATTTGTGGTCCATCTAAATTTTCATTTAAGAGAATAATTAAAAGGTATTTTACAATGTTAAAGAGGAAGAAAAAAGAATCATTATTATTCCTAGACCTTACAATATCTGAAATACAAATACACATATACACATACACTCTGACCACTGACTTTGGATAAATCCCACTGTAATTGTAAAGAGATATTAAAAAAAAAAAGTCATGAATTACTGTGGTAGATCCTCAGTTATCAGAGCAGATGTAGGCAAATCCTAAAGAAACTTACTTAAGCAGTAATTTAATATAAAAATTTTGAGAAACATTTTTCATGTCTTCAAATACATTATTTTTTGAAATTCTTAAAAATCAAACAGAAGAATATGCAAACTTATCCATGTCACACACACACACACACACACCTTTGTCAATAAGAATTTGAATATTATTTATGAGATGAATGAGAATATACATTTCACTAGAAATTTAGATAAATTCCCAGTTTTCAAATTGTTTGTGAATAAATATTTGTTGAGTAAATAAATATACAGATTACCTTGGCCTAAATGTTTACCTACTACAATTATATAGCTAGGTCACACGAAACAGAATAGTTATTCAGTTATTTCTGAATAGTGTATTTAATTTAAAAAATTTCATTAGCTCCTTTGCTTTTTAGTGACTTTTGATATTAAAAATATTCCTTTACCATAAAAATATTAGTAAATCTGAGTTATTCTTGAAATACAAACATTATTATCATCTTATTCAAAAAGACAGGAAAGGTGTAAAGTCTTTGGTGCCTGTATCTGAGACGTATATTTAATGTAGATTAGATACCTGGATAACAAATGGAAAATTTCAAGAAGAAAAAATTAAAAGGAGATAAACCTTTCTAGAATATAAGAGAGATAATTCTAAAATAGATTATCTTAAGTTAACCAAAATTTCTCCACTTAATATACATACCTTCAGTAACAAATATTTCTAATTTTACAAAAATTAAAAAAACAGGGTAACATCCTAAGAAACTTCATTATCAAAAATTCATTAGGAGAACAGGAAATAAATTTAAAAGCTTTAGAACAATAAATTCAAAATATAGCTAAGTTGTCTCAGTCAAATACAATAGAATAAGAAACTGGCTATACCAGCATGCCTGGCCGTATGAAAAAATTTAAATTCATTTACACTACAGAATCTAGACAGCAGTTAACTTTTTTCCTGCATATTAACATTTGCTGCCTTACTCATTTATTTAAAGTTTATTCATTTACTTCTTCCATGGGGAAGGGAGAGAGAGAGAGACAATGTCTCTGACAGGGCCTTGACATGCAATCCAGCCCCAGCCTCAGCTAGCCCAAGACCATGGGCGTGAGCTGCCTGGTATGCTCAGCGAGGTCTCTGGATATGATCCTGACATGTTTCCATGTGGGGTCAACCTCACAGAGCGCCACGTTTTACTGGCCCCCAACATTTACCCCTTTAAAACTTGCCATTAATTTGACTCTCAAACAATGGTAGGAAGCTACTAAACATCTGACAGGCTGAGAAAATTTAAGTAATTGGATAAAATTTTGAAAAGTCTATTAGAATACCAGCTCGATCACTTGTATTTGAAACTGTGGCCTGGGAACACTATTTCACCAGTAATTTATACAACTTAAATTTTATTGACTCACAAATACATAATACAAAATTCAACTAGATTGTAGATGCACATAGTCTCACATCTTTAGATATGTGGACAACATTGTAGTAACACCACAAAATTTTAGAAGAAGGGAAAATATATGCATGTGTCATTAAATTGAAGCAAGCTTTCCCCCTATTTGCATGACAAATATGTCTCATAAAAATCCCAATAAATAAAAGCAAAGGAAACTTCATTCAGTTTGAATTGTTAAGTTCGCTTGAAAAAAAAAAAATCAGAAGCGCTAGGGAAAAAGCTAGATTTCAGGTATTTTAGGAGGAAGGAACTTTAAGTCATAATGGTTACATCGCTGGACTCCCACATAGTTGACTGCAGTCTGAGTCCCAGAGCCAGTGGCTTAAAACTCAACGCCAGGTACGTGTACGTGTGTGCCCAAAATCCTGGGAGGAGAATGGAGAAGGAATTGCAGCATGGCCATACACCCTGAGGGTGATTTCTCACTTTCTGTCTGTCTGTCTCTCTCTGTCTCTGGTGAGCACATGCACCCTATAGCAAAAAATCTCCCTCTTTAAAAAATAAATCGTATATGGACTGAAGGTTCCTCCAAGATTCATATGCTGAAGCCCTAACTTCCCAATATGAAGATGTCTGGAGAAGGGGCCTTTGGGAGACAACCAGAGCTAGATGATGTCATTAGGGTAGGGACCTCATGATGCGGTCGCTTTATTAAAGAAATCTCCCTCCCCAACACTACAACCCCAGGAAGACAGAGAAAGGCCATGTGAGGACAAAGCAAGGTGAACATTTATAACCCAGGAAGTGAGCTCTCATTAGATCAAACCCTCCCAGACCTTGACCTTTGAACTGTTAGACTATAGAACTACAATAAAATAATTTGTTTTTCAGTACACCCAATCTGAGATTTTGTTACAGCTGCCTGAGCAAACCAATACACACACTTTCAGGTAGTGCTAGGGTAGTACTGTCCAGTGACCTGTCCTAAAAAGGCCCAGTTTGGCTCTGTTCCCACAGTACAATAGCCCAGAATATAGTATTCTTAACTATTTATCTTTGGCACATATCATTTCCAGAAATGTATCTCATAGGCTATAATCTCCTGGTTTAATATTGACATGAACCTCTTAGCTATGCTCGCAACTCATCTTTTTCAGAGGGTTTGGGAGAAGCATGGATGACTTGGGCTCACAACTGATCTGGATCATTATAGAATAGAATTCTCAAACTCATGACAAAGCTAGGTCAGATTAGCAGGATAAAAGAAAGATAACCAGCAAAACTGTGCTAGTAAAATTATCATGGTTCTATCCTGAACACATAGACTAGCAAAGTGGTTAATTAAAGCAGAGAAGATCTAGAAGACAGAGACAAATAGCAACCCTGGAAATAAACTGGTCTCTGTAGGCAATTACAATACAGAGTAAAGATAGACTGAATTAAACAGGTAGGTTGGTTTGGTGATCAAATATACAATAAAAGGACATTACCCATTTAAACAAAAAATGTACAACTCTAGACAATTGAACAGTATATACTATAGCTGTTTAAACAATATTTTAAAATAAACTCTAATATTCTGAATTACTTACTAAAAACAAAAACAAAAACCTAAGTCTCATAGGCATTCAATAACAGATCTCAATGTTGCCTCACTGTTTAAGTCACCTGCAAAAAAAGCCACCGCCTTCCAACATTTAAATTTTTTTCTTTCTTTCCTTTTTTTTTTTAGTTTTTTGCCATAGGGTCCACATACTTACTGAAAAAAAGCGAGAAATACAGAGACAGAAAGTGAGAAATCACCCCCTCCCTGGAAGGATGGCCACATGGTAATCCATTCTCCTCTCAGGATTTTGGGCATGCACACACATGTGCCCTGCATGAGTTTCAAGCTACAAGGAACAGGACACACCCAGTCTGTGGGAATCCAGCAGCCTTAACCACTACACCACCTGCTGGCCCCAACATTTTTAATTTTTAACAATTTATACAGAAAATAAATCCCAGAGCAACTTAACCACCATAGTTTGTTCTGACAAGATCTTCAGTATAGAAATACTTTCTATTTGTAATCAAAGTCTCTTCTGGCAACTTAATATCCCTACGGCCCAACTCTCTTAAGTCAAAACTAAATTATAGCAATGTAACATCTATGTAGAATTCCAGATTAAAACTATTAGGTGGATCTGAAGTACATATAAGCATTTCCCATAACAACAACTTTTCAAAAGGCAATTACTGAGAGAAAGTGGAATACATGTGTAGCTTTAAAGACACAGAGGTTAGAGAGTTATAAAATGTAGTTTCACGTGTAAAACAATACATTCCCTGAAAAAAAAAACACTACTTTAACATTATTTAGCAAATCCTGAACAGTATGTTATTATCCCCATCAAAAAACTCAATTTCTAGGAACTGCCTTCCTATAAAGACAAGGTAAGATAGAAGAATTAGGGCCGGCAGGTGCGTGGTGGCTAAGGCACTGGTCTCCCAAATAGGGCCAACCTCAGTTCAAGTACCAGACCGAGAGGCTTGCTGGCTTGCTTTCTTGCTTTCTCTTTTGCTCTTTCTCTCTGGTCAAATTAAAAAAACTAATAACAAATGGAATGGTATAAATCATTCTTTACAACAAAAGGATAGGAAATACTTTGATAAATTTTCCTCTAATAATACTCAGTGAAGGTTAAAAAGAATTTTTATGTAATATTATAAACATGGTGGAAGGAGAAAAAAGTATATAGGCTGATCTATTTAACAACATCATAACGTTACTTGGTTTTAAAACACTAGTTTAGGATGAGGTTTCAAAGAGTTTAATACCATGCTCACTTTAGTAATCTGAACAGTATAAATCCCTTTAAAGATGCCATCTCTAAGTCCTTGAAAAATTGAGTAATTTTTAAATAGGTTTTTGCCTTAGGGTGTGTGTGCTTGGGGGGGGGGCGGAGAGAGACAAGGCCAGTGAGAGGGAAAGTGAGAAATCATCCCTCTGGAGAGATGGCCACACCACAATCT